ATGCAGAGACTATTTCCAGCCCCTGAGCGGAGCCAGCCTGGGTGTGTTGGTCTCACCACCCTTTTTTGCTTTCTCGTGCGTTCACATGCCCAAAGCCAGCACAGGTGTCAGCATCTGCAGTGAGAACATCGTTCCCATCAGTGGAAATTGAAGAGGTGTTGAAAGGAGTGATTGGCAGCCTGAGGTGGGCCGTGCCCATAGCCTCACCATTCCCTTAGCCCTATCTTGCTTGGGTGCTGGAAGGGTGGCCCAGGGGACAACCAAAGAAAGGAGGTTGAAGGCACGTGGGTCTGGCTGTGCTCATTCCAGGATGGCTCCTTTGGCTCTTGGAGGAAACCTGACTTTCCCAGCTCTGTAGGGGAGACTGTGGGAGACGGTTGGCGTTTGTTTTCCTTTGGGAACTGAGTTGCCAGGCAATTATTTTACACCCTTTAGCGCTGCAGACATGTCTCTTCAAGTCCAATCTCTTACCACATAACTGAGAAAATGCATTTTACATTAAAAAGAAGCCTTTAAAAAAGGCCCTTCAGGCATAAAGTCAATGTGTTTTCTATATATAACCCTGTATTATTAATACAATGAACTTATCTGTAGACTCTGTGGGTGAATATGACTTGATCATTGGAGATAGGAACAATATGATATCCATTTTCAGTGCACTATATATGTGACTCTGTAACTGTGCCCCCAGCTTTCGATTCATTTCTTAGTGATAAAGTGGGGCAATAGTGTGAGGCAGGTCTGCGGATTGCATTTTTCTGAGCATTAATGCAAAATAAACAGCCTATGGAGAGAACAAATGTGCTATCATTCAGAAACGCCAAGATCTATAGATTTGGGGCAGACAAGAATGATGAATGTGAGCAAATAGTATTGAAGTAAGGCCAGAAAGGCACAAAAGCTTCCCTGGGTTTGGTTACAGGGATGGCAATATAAGTTGCTGTGGCTGAAAAAAAAAAAAAAAAAAATGTAAGCTGAGGATTGATTTCTTTTTTTTTTTTTTTTTTTTTTTTTTTTTCTCTCCTTTACTGTAGGAAATTTGTCACTGTGTACAGAATGTGAGATCGCTTTCCTTTTTCAATCATGGAGAAGTGTTTCAGAGTAGACTTGGGAGGACCCTTCAGCCCAGATCCCTGTGAGTGTTGGGATGTGACTGAGGCAGACAGGAGCATAGCCTTCATGGCTCTGTAAGAAGAGGAGGGAGATGAGGTCTGTAGCTCGCAGATAGCGTGCAATGAGCTTTAATTACTTGTGGTCATTGTGTGTTAGGCTGTGTGCTCACAAAGACAGAAGGCTGGGTTACATGATTTCTCTAGATCCCCAGCCTGGCTTTCTTCTGAGGACAATGTGCAGGTGCCCAAAGTGATGCAGGTTACAGTGGTTCAGTTAGTGTATCTTGTGCAGGCTTACCATGGAGGAGTGTGAACTTGCAAAGCAGCAGCAGCTGTTGGTATCTAGTGCCATAGCTAAACCTTAGTGCTGGGTGGGAGATGTCTTGAGTGGAAACTGTGGAGGCAGAGGATGTAGTTGGGGGGTGGAAAGGCAATTCCTGCTGCAGGAGGTGGTGGGAATGGTGCTCTTGAGCACTCACCCTGCTCTCAGCACACGGCAACTCTTTCTAATCCTCACAGCCCTTTCACGTGATGTCAGTATTTCACAGAGACCTGTAGTGCCTTCTGTAACATTTACATAACTCTTGGTAAATAGAGCTTGTGTCTGGGAGCTGCCATGGCTGCTGCTGGGGAAATATGGGCAGCGCAGTGCTGTCTTCTGTTCCAGCAGTTACAAGGGCAGCAGCAGCTTCCTGCATGCAGACTGCAGCTATCAGTCAGGTTACAGCTGGGAGATGCTTGCATACAGAGAGCAGTGTTAATGTGGGGTGTAGGAGAAAGCGAAAGAATGATTTTAGCCACGGGCTAAGAGGTTGGCTTTGAATTAATGTTAGTAACATCTCTGCTATGCTAATGCCAGCATTGTAGGCAGAGTGTGTATTTAAGGTCACGGCCAATGTTAAAGCAAGGATTTGGACTGTGCTTTCTCAGCTGCTGCCACTCTGGATGTAATGCCGTTGTTGCTGGTGCTCTCTGATGCAAAATCTGCATGTTGACATTTTTCGTGTTTATTTTCCAGTCCTATTTTGGGTTTTGTTTTTTGTTCCCCCCCAGTCGCTGTGAGTGTTTTGGAGCCCACTCTGCTAATGCTGGTGTCAGCGCTTCGCTTTCAGATGCTGCTTTCTTCTGGGTGCTTGAGGCTGACGCCTGATACATCGCATAATAAAGGAATAAACTCCTGCCTGCTTTATCAGGATGGTTGGAGTTTGGTCTTTCTCCTCTGCTTTTTGTTTCTTCACCGAAGCAAAGCAAAAAGCTGTTAGCAAAAAGTAAAGCAGCTCCCTGGAGTGATGCAGACTGAGTCTCCCTCCCTACTGTGTCTTATTACAAAAGGGGAAGGACAGCCCAAGTCCAAGTGAAGTAAGAGCAGAATGACAGCTGGGGCTGCTAGTTCTAATTCCCAGGTTTGTCAGTGGTGTACTGTCCCTGTCACTGTGAGTTTCGTGTAGGAAAGGTGCAGTTTGGAATCCAGCGCTCCAAAATTTGAGCACTCTGCCATGGCACCAAAGTGTTTCTAAATGCCAGCCTGCTTTTAAGTTACTTATGTATGCATGGTAAAAGCGGACAGTTTGGCAAGCAGGCTCAAATGCAGGAGAGACTTCCAAAACTAGGTAATGCCTACTCACCTTGGGAAATCACTTCTCTTAGCTTCAGATCAACCATCCTGAGTTATGCCACCACGAATTCCATCTGTACTTGCCTCGCTAACATTTGGCTCTCCGTGCCTCAGTTTACACAGCTGAAATGTGTACTTAGGAGTTTCCTATGTAGGTATGGTTCAGAAATGGGCAATGTGGATGTGATTTTTTTGCCTCTGAGGTCAGCGGCTGAACTCCATCAACTTCCTTTTAAGCGGCTGGAAGTTGTGCTTGGAATCTAGAAGCATGAAGGGGTCCCCAAAGCCTGGCTTTATGCTGCCTGCAGGCTTTGCTGATGTTTGTGGCATGAGGCTGAGTGTTGGAGCCCTGCTGGTATGATACACTGACCCTATTAGCTCACGTCTTGTGGTAAAACCAATCCATGCTGTGGGTGATAAATGGAGTGCCTGGAGGGCCAGCCTTGGGCAGCAGGATGCTGTGCACATAGCTCTGCTTTGCTGTGACTGTGTCTGTCCCTGGATGCTCAGCCGGGTCCCACGGAGGGTTGGGAACAGTGAAATCTCCCTTAGATGTGCACTCAGGCACTGTTTGCCAAACAGAGCGGCTGAGCTCGCTGCAGCAGGGACAGGCTGTGCTGTGCCATCATGCACAAGGTCAGCATTTTCTCCCAGTGAATCCCAGCACTGTTTCACCCAGCAGGAGCTGCACCCTGTGTTCCAGATGGAACAGCAGTCTCCTCTCTCTCAGGCACACACATACCTTCACTTGGCTTTGCTGTGGGGTAGGACTTTTGCTGTGGCGTTGTCTTCAGTCAGAGGGCTGAGATTTTAGGTTATGGTTCTCTTTGTGTTGTTTTTTTTTTTTTGTTTTGTTTTTTTTTTTTCTCTACTTGCTCAGTTCTTGGCTCCTGAATCTGAGCACTGACATAAAATAACAACTGCTTGTACAGGACAAAGGCTGAATACTCAAAAATCCCAAATAAATGATTCTTGTAGACCTGACCTCTCTGGCTGAAGTCTCAGGGCTTTTGCTTATGCAGAGTGGAGGGGCTGCTCCTGCTGTCTTTCCCTCATGCTGCTGCTGGGGCTGTCTTTGTCCAGGCTGTGCCCTGCTCTACCCTAGCAGAGGCCAGCTGCCCCTGGAGAAGAGCTGCTGTCAGAATACTTTAAAGTCGGTCAGACTGGCTCCTTCTTCGTGAGGTTTATCAGCAAAGATTTTCAGTGCCTCCAGCGGGAGGCTATTTTTACTCTATCCAGGGGCCACCTTCTGCTGTGAGGTCTTTACAGCATGGTGTGGCTCTTTTTAACAGCAAAACTTGCCTGTTTTAGGACAACCTTAAGTGTGGTCATCTTTTGCATTTTGAAAAACGAGGTAGTCTTTTATCTAAGGGAAAAACTTTTGGTGTTTCTGTGACATGTTCAAGATTATATTTCTTTATTTTCTTATGTAGATCAGACACTGCTTCAGACATAAGAATGCACTGAGTTTTCTCTGGTGAACAGGGGTGGCAGTAAGTGAGGTGCCCAGTATTTCCTCTTCCCTTCCCCATTGCTCAGGGCTTTGACCACTGTGTAAAACCCATGGTGCGTTTCATTGCCCTATGTAATCAAGACTGGTAGATGCCTTGAGATCACCAGATCCATCTTCCTGCCCTGTGGCAAGATCAGTCATACCTGTAGTGTTCCTGAGGGATGCTGCTCTGTGTTCTTTTCCAGTAGCCCTGCAGCCTCTCCAGGCAGTATATTTGCATACCTGACATCCCTTGCCATCAGAAGGCCACTTCCCCGTTCCCCCCCTTCCAACCTTGTGTTTAATCTGAGTCAGCTGTGCTGTTGTTTCAGCTTGTCGCTTCTTATCCTGCCCCTTTTGAATACAAAGAACAGGTCATTCCTTTTTGCATCAGTCTTGAGATTGACGACTATTCCTGTGTCTCTTTTTCAAGTTAAATAGCCACCACGTTACATTTTTCCTTCTTTATAGTAGGTTTAAATCTTCTATGTAAATCTTAATTTGCTTGTCTTCTCAAAGCCATTCTGTAATTGAAGATCTCAGTCATTAACTAATCCACGAACAGTTTAAGCCATTTGATCACCGTTTTATTTAAATGCTTTAATGGAAGCCTTCTATGCCAGCCAAATTGCCTATTTGTGCATCGCTGTCTCTGACTGACTTCCTAAACTTGTGCTAGCATGCAAGCCAAGTATGTGCAAGGATTCGCAAGGCATACAGGGAGGACAGAAAGCAGTTTGCATTCCCTTTCAGTAACTGTCTCTGGATTTCTCTGTTGCAGGTGAGTGTTTTAACCACCTTGGAGCGGCGATTCAACCTCCAGAGTGCAGACGTGGGTGTCATTGCCAGCAGCTTTGAAATCGGCAACCTGGCCCTCATCCTTTTTGTGAGCTACTTCGGAGCCCGAGGACACAGACCACGCTTGATAGGATGTGGAGGGATTGTCATGGCCTTGGGTGCCCTCCTTTCCGCGTTGCCTGAATTTCTGACCCACCAGTACGAATACGAATCAGGGGAAATACGCTGGGGAGCTGAAGGGAGGGATGTGTGTGCTGCCAATGGGTCCACCAGTGATGAGGGACCAGACCCGGACCTTATCTGCAGGAATCGGACTGCCACCAACATGATGTACTTGCTGCTCATTGGAGCGCAGGTCCTCCTGGGCATTGGTGCTACCCCTGTCCAGCCCCTGGGAGTTTCCTACATTGATGACCACGTGAGGCGGAAAGATTCCTCTCTGTACATAGGTAAGGCTCTGTTAACCTCTCACTGGAAGTTATTCCATGTTGGTTTTGTCCGATTTGTTTCCTGTGGAAGGGCTGCCTTCAGGTTTCTTCTCTCTGTGGTGCTGTGCTGGTGAAGGTAAGGTGGCATTGGTCTGTGTTTGAGTGATAGTAAGCAGCAGGGAGGTACCTTGATATTTTCTTTTGTTGTAGCTATGGTAAAGATGGACAGCCATGGTAATGGAGAGTGAATAGTTAGGAAGCTGCTGTTTGCCCAGATTGCTTTAAATTCTGATACTGGCTGTTTAAGGTTGACTGAAAAGGAGGTGCATGTCTTGGTCATTTCCACCATCACATTTTAGCAGGGCTGTTACAAAGTAGGTGCTGTGACCCGATATACTCCAGCAGGTGCCAAATAATGTGACCCATGTAATTAACAAAACAGGATGAAGAAGGTGGTGATGTCTACTTTGAGATCTGCTGAACCAAGAGTTGAGCTCATTATTGTGATGATCACATTGCAAACATATTCCAGATGCCTAAAATATGAAATTTGTGTCGAGTTACCTGGTGAAGCATCTCTGGTTGTCGTAAAGTGCTCACTGGTTTCAGCAGTAGAACCCACTGCAGCAGATTTAAAGTGGGTGGTCTGGATGAAGTTGTTCACCTGGAGGGGAAAAAAACAAAACCAAAAGCTTCACTAGCTTGGCTCACCCTTCAGTCTGCAGTGCTTGTCACTAGGTAAATGGCTCCAATGCAATAAATCACAATAAAGTTGAAGTATGTGCTGCTGCAAATGCATTTCTTCTTTAGTTTGTTAGTATTATTTCTAGGATCTAAAGCTCCATGCACTTGTGCTTTCATCCTTCTCCAGGCTTTCAGCCATCAACTGAATGCACATTGCCATCAGTGCTCTCCTTGCTATGACATTTAGCAAGCTCCCAGCCATAACTGAACACAGCTGTGGCCAAAGCTGGGCAGTCCCACTGACCTGAAGGGCTTTAGGTGTCCTGGGATAGCACAGCTGCACAGCATGGCATTTCTGGATGTGTTCCTACGTGACTTAGAGCTTCTTCTACATATTCGAAGCGTGTCCATGTTTTCCTGTCACTGGCCATAAAATCCTGATATTTCTGTCCCTTTGTTGCTATTAACCTTGCCTTTGTTCTATAAGGGCTTGTGAGGGATCCACTGGACAGAGCAGGGTGATATGTAAAATACATGATACTGTACAGCCCAAAGGTGAATGATGAGACTAAAGTCACTGGGTCAGCTTTGCCAGCATTGTAAATGATGAGCTGGAATTTGCAGTGATTCTAAGATTATCTGTTAAAAAAGAAAACCGATATGAAGAGGCAGCAACTTTCTGTCTGTTCCATGGGTGTTTTTAAGCAATGCTTCATGTCTGAGAACAGGATTAAGGAGGGTGCGTAAGAGGAAGATTAGGAAGAGTGATTCTTCTTGGTCCTTAGATACATTCATCTTGCATGCTGAAATAACTTTATTTAAATAAAGTTGGCAGATCAGCTGTGGCTGGGAAAACGCTGCCAGAAGAAAATGATTTCTGCTTACTATGTGCTTCCTTCAGAAATATGCATTTAACTGTGTAGGGTTCCTTTCTACAGGTAGACTGCAAAAAAAAATAAAAATAAAAATTGAATTTACTGGCTTATGGGAATCCCATCTGAGTGTGTACATGTGAACTGTGGGGTGCAGAAGAGAGCATGTGTACACCCAACCTATCAGCCATGCCGGCAGTGAAGTTCAATGTCTGTCCTCTCCCAACCTGTCCATCACAAGTAGGTTTTGGAATAGGGGATGATTAATTCTGACATCAAACTGCATTCAGTTGGGTTATTAAAAATACAAGCTAACAGGAAAAAATGAACAGGAGAAATATTGCTCTGTGAGTGTATATGAATGGAGAGGAAGCTGTTGGAAATGTATGTCATTTTAGATTTGAGAATACTTGAGAAGTGGTCAGAGTTCTTATTTAAGGTGTTATTAGAGAATTATTTGCTCGGGCTTGTGTTACACTGATTATTTTTTGTTGGTGTCGTCAACGCAATTTTCAGTGGCCTTAGTAGAAAGCTGGCTGAGCAGCTTACCCACTTCATTCTCCTTTGTTTCACAGAGGAAATAACTGCAGAGTGTATACTGTCACTGTTATATTTATATCAGTTTGATTTCTCATAATAGCATGCTCACTCAGTGGGGGCTGCTCTGTGTGTGACCGGGTAAAATGTTTTTTGGGTAAGTTCCCTCAGTTTAAATTAAGAGCAAATCTGGCATAGGCTGTTCCCTTAGGATAGAAACTAATTAATGACAGTGGTAATAGTCTGGCCAAGCTTTCCATCCTGGTTGGCTGCTGGTAAGAAATGATCTGATTGACCAGTCCATGTTGTCTTCAGTGTGTTGTCAAGTACATATGGGCTGTACTGTAGCCAGGGGGAAGAAGCAGTCTCTTACCTGACAGCTAAGTACTAGTTATTGCTCACCTACAATAAAATCCCTCTTTTGTCCCCAGGCAGTGAATTAGACACAAATAACCCCTTGCACTGAGAGTTTTTTCCTTCCCTCTGAGTTGTACTGGAGTTCAGTGGAATAACTTCAAGTAACCTCATGTAAAGGTGTGTGACAGTGCAGGAAGACTGCTCTGTTCACCAACCAACATCTTTTTCTTTTGTATTAGGATAAATGCATGTATGCAGTTGCGATACTGAATGAGTTTTAAATTGGAGCTTTACTTTACTCGTAATGAAAGCCATAGAACAGAATACGTTTATGGCCCTGAAGTCTCAAGTTCTGCATGCTGTGTTTTCTCTGCAGGAGATGGGCAGTGCACCTCTGCTGTGCTTCCTCGGGAGGCAGAGGTTGCTCAGGCTTGTGCTCAGCCAAGGAGGTGGGGATTCGTGGAGTTTTGTAATTAGAGAGACAGGATGAAAGATTACGGAGAGTTATCTCTGTGGCATGGGCTGCTGACGTGTAGCTTCATGTTTCTTGAGCTAACTGTGGGTATGTTACATATTTTTTATTTTTGAAGCCTGCAATGTGTTGATACCAAACTCAAACAGATCCTGTTGCTGTAGTAACCAACCCAAGAAGGGCTGTGTTGTGGTAGCTGAGGGCATGCACCAAAGGATGTTCAGAGGAAACAACGTTAGTGCTATAGTGGTGTCTGTTCCTGCTACCCCTGGGAGATATATTCCCTTCCATGTCACCGAGTGACACATGTTTGACACAAAAGTTCGTAAAGCTGGCAATAGCAGCCAAGAGATAAGAAAATATAGGAGTTTTTGTGGCTTTATGAAGAAGGGAAAGTCTGCTTTGGTGCTGGTTTGCTTCCCTCTCTCCTGTCTGTTGTATTTAAGGTCTCAACTCGTTTTTAAAGATATCAAAACAAGGTGATTCTCCCTGTGTATTTATTGGCATTTGGCATAAGTAACCACTCTGATGGGAGGAGCACCTTGCTCCTGCAGTCTGTGCAGGGCTCATCATTACTGCAACTTCACTAATGTCAAAGGATTCCATCAATTTGTAGCATCGTTTGTTTTAAGGGGGGGGGTAGAGGAGGAGAAGTGTGTTGAGAACTACTCACTACACAGTTCCTTTTTCTACCCACTAATGACTCACTTGACATTTCCCACTTTTCTTAGTTCCTTTTCTGCTGGATCTTGCTGAGTTCTGTTGAAATCAATGAAGACTTTGCCATTAAGAGGGGGATCAGAAATGTTACAGAGCTGATACGGGGGAGAAAAAAATCTGATCTGACTGGTTGTATGGATTTGCTGCCTCTTGGATGAGTAAGAGCTTACAAGTGTTTTCTGGTCACTGGAGCACCCATGTTGCTTTCAGCACTGGCTTGCGTGCTTGGCAAGAGCCAGGGTAATGCAGTGGTAGATTAATGTTATTAGCAGCCTCCTTATGCACCTTCTGGGCTTCCTGCAGCATTTAACATGTGCTGCTGAAGTTGTTGCATCTTGTCTAGAGCATGGTTACCTACAGAGCAGAATGAATGGCTTCTGGAAGCCAGCATTAGATCTGAGACAATTAAAGGCTGCATTATAGAGAGGAAGTTGCTATTATTCTGTCTCCTGTTGATGGAGGAAATTGATATTGATGTTGCAAGGGAGCACTGCTGGGTTGCTTGGCACGTTGGAAGAATGCTGTGTTGGTTTTAATGTGCCAGAGATTTCCTTCAAGTTTGCCAAAGCGATCTCAGTGTTTCACTTCATGGACTCCCATCCCATGTGTTATCTTTCACAGGCTGCCCAGAGAAGCTGTGGGTGCCCCATCCCTGGAGGTGTTCAAGGCCAGGATGGATGGGGCCCTGGGCAGACTGAGTTGGGGCCTGATTTACTGGTTGCCAACCCTGTCTGAGGCAGAGGAGTTGAAACCTGATGTTACTTGTTGTCCCTTCCAACCCAAACCTTTCTGCGATTCCATGACTTGCTGGTTTGGGAGACCTGGTGACTCAGAGGCGGCACTAACAGGAGAATGGATCTCAAAGAAGTCCCAGGAAGGGGACTGAATGGTGAGAGTGAATGCTCCTGAGTTATTGGTGTAAGAGGCAAACTCTGTTCTGTGCCCACAACTACTCAAATGGGACTAACCAGTCCCACAAAGGGGATGGGGCTGTGAGTGATCCCTGTTGGCTCTGAGCTTTGCGGTGCTGTGGGGTTATTTTGGGTTGAATGAGTGGAGACATCTCTGTTTTTGCCGTGACAATTGCAGAGAAATGCTCGCTCTCACATTTCGTGCCTTTCTTGCTTGCTTGAAGCACCAAGCTGAGAGCTGAGTTGCTGAAGAGGAAGACAAATGTGCCCTAGTTGGAATTTTGCTGTCTCCAGGGATGAATTTGTCCAATTGAAAATTCACTTATGGTAGCTCACTTCAGTCAGAGTGACAGCAAGCATTGTGTTTTGGTGATGCAAGAACTTTTTGTCTACTGACAAGAATGAGATCTGAGTGTTAGTATCTATAGCCATGTGTTAATCACATGTTATCAGCATAAGATGCTGAAA